GCTTCAATATCACCCACACACCAGAAGCCTTCCAATGGCTAAAATGCTATAAAGCTTTGCAATATACTTCCATAGACTTTCCTATAGCACCTCATAGACGATCCTCAGCGAAACGCGTTGTTTACCTGGCACTTGATAACAGATGGACGACACAACGACCCAGAATCCATCATCCCCCTCTAATATTTTGCTCTTCGATGATCTCCACAACGACAAGATCGATACAAGCTTTGAATCTTTCAAGTTCAGCCAAGGTCTTGCGGGCGTCGATCAGACCACGAACTACATGTTCGTCAATATCCTCATTACAACTGCCCTGTTCCCGATCCTGATCGCTCTGTCCTTTCGTGTTTTTGTTGCAGCGAGGAACGATCGCCGACGAATCTCAGCGATCGCTTCATGTAGAGGTCAAGAACTTTGGGCAAGGGATCGTTATGTGTACTGGGGGGCACTCAAGCGGCATTTTCTTTATGCGCCAGTCGGGTCTACGAAACGTCGACAACCAGCGAAAGGCTCTACAGGTGGTGCGACATCAGCCGCCTTACCCACTCGCGTCCATTGCTTGGTAATTATCGTCTATATCCTCAGCAACATGGCGTATTGCCTGGTCGTCTCCGTACGTCCCCGTCCCCAGATGGTGGCCGAATTTCGCGGCCGGTGTGGAACTCTTGCGACATTCAACCTTATATTCGCCGTTCTCTTTGCTCTTCGGAACAACCCTTTAATAAACCTCCTCCAAGTCAGCTACGATACTTTCAACCTTTTCCATCGATGGACGGCGCGACTTGTTGTGGTAGAGGCTACTGCCCATGCCGCCGCTTTCCTGTACAACACATATCGGGCGACCCACAATGGGAAGAGTGGTTGGCATAGCGTGGGCTGGCTTCTAAGACAATCGCTGTCGTATCAGTGTGGTCTTGCAGCTTTTGTTGCCTTTTTGTTTCTCATTGTTCATTCCATCGGCCCTATCAGGCGCTCTTTTTACGAGACATTCCTCTCTTTACACCGCATCGGCCTCGCAGTCGCGGTATCCGGTGTTTACTTCCATTTGGCAAAGCATGCTCTGCCACAACTACCCTGGGTCTATTTGGTTATCATTTTCCTATCACTAGAGCCCTCGATTCGCATCCTTCGCATACTACGTTACAACTTTTCGTGGAAAGAGAAGAAGTGGACCCTTGTGGGCCTGGAAAGTTTACCGGGTGAGGCAACGCGTGTCACCTTTACACTTCCCCACTCGTGGAACGCCAACCCTGGATCACACGTTCAGATCTACATGCCGAGAATAGCACTAATGGGGTCACACCCGTTCTCAGTGGCTTGGTCCCAATCATCCGGAGACGCGAATGCTTTGGCGGCAAAGGCACCCTTCAGCATCGACGACCTTGACTCGGAAGGCGGGCCTAGCACCGTTTCGTGTATTATTCGCTCACGCCAGGGAATGACAAGTTCGCTTTACAAGCTGGCGGCAAAATACCAAGACGCTCAGGTGCACCTGTGGGGAGCGATCGAGGGGCCATATGGTGGCTATCACTCGCTCGACTCGTATGGCACTGTTGTTCTCTTTGCTGGCGGAGTAGGAATCACACACCAGCTGTCTTTCGTCCGACATTTACTGAACGCACATAACAGCAACATTGCCGCTACACAGAAGATTTCCTTGGTCTGGTGCATAGCCAACCTCGATGCGTTGGAATGGGTGCGGTCGTGGCTTGATGAGATCGCGGCTATACAGCACTTTCGCGAAGTTGTGAGCGTACGGCTCTACATTTCCAGGATGGTCACCTCCGAGCTTGGAGGTCGGTCTATACCGGCGTACCTCGATGTGAGACCGCAACGGTGCGAGGTACAGAGTGTACTGGATGGGGAGGTACTTGCACAGATTGGTGCCATGGCGGTTTCAGTGTGTGGGCCAAGAGGCTTCAGTGGCAGCGTTAGGGCAGCTGTCAGACGTAGGGTGAGTGTACGGAGCATTGACCTTTTTGAGGAGGCGTTCTCGTACTGACCGACACCTTCGGTGGGATGGCAATCTATCGCCATGGCAAATTCAACAAGGCACGTGTACTCGTAGACTATACTCGGCTCGTTTGCCCGAGTTGATCTAAACAAGGCACTACTACAGTACGACATCATTGCGACGCTTGTTGGTCCAAGTGCTCGTAGTAACGCCAGAGTGGCACCATGCCCGGCCGGGCCTAAGGTAAGTGTGTACCGTCGGAATATGACGCCACATAAGGTGACGAACCCAAGCTGGTACGCCCGTAGTGTCTTTCCGAGAGTTCACCCATGGCTGGCATGTCTCAGCTGGTCTTTCGGTTGGAAACTTGGCCACTAAAATTAGGAGTCTCTTCTAATACCGTACGTGAATGTTAAAGTGTACTCGCTCTCGTTTGACCAAACAAATTACACTACGACAGAATCTTCTAGAACGAACTTTCGCTCCATTTGTTTTGTTGCAAATCACTGAGAGACCCTAGCACAAAGCGTGTGGTTTGATAAGCAGAAACGAAGTAAATATCAACAACTCTGAATCTAACTGACGTCTGATTTGGAGCCTACCTAAAACCACAAAAAGAGGGCTCTGTATGTATCGTACTCCTCTAAGTCGTTATAAACGCCTCTATCCCAGTGGAAATGTACTACGGAGTCTTTTTTCCAATGTTACGCAGGAAACGCTCTCGCCTCTCCAAACTAAAGACATTATAATGTAGTATGTATATATATCAACTTGGTGCTATCCCATATAGAGAACTGGAAGATCCGGTAGCGTACGTTATAGTGCATGTCTACCCTGTCGTGCATGGTGTGATCCAGTCACGTATCGTATCGGGTCGATAAAGGCGATCTATTTTTGCTCTGAGTTCGAATTGAGTCGCAGTCTTCTTTTTGAATCACATAACTTTCTTTTTTGCTTGTCGGTCATCCACTCTTCTGTCTTTCTTTTTAATTGTATGTCACTAATCTCGCTCAGTGGTGATAGCCCATCACGATTCAGATTGTCATAAACTTCTATTCATGTCGCGAACCTGTGTATTAAGCAACAATCTCCTGCAGTTAGTGTTGAAGCGGTATGAGGATGCGACGCGCTCTGCAACGTGGTGAGAGTGCACGTCACTGCCCCAACTGTCCAGTGTTCCTTCCTCACCACCATCAGTACAACGTCATCTCTACTCTCACCACTGACTCACTTACCAACTCTCGCAAAAGCGCCAATTCTGCATGACCGGGCATTCCAATGCTGAAGGCGCTCCTAGGCTATCTTTTCCTATTACCAGTAGTAGAGTGGATTCTCTCTCACTTGCGCTTTACTACCAGCAACCACCTGAACTCTTCCCAAAGATCTACGCCGAAACCAACGTCAACCCCGATTCTTACTTCAGCAAACAAACCGACCAATTTACTCGTTCTCTCCTCTTCAAACCATTCAACCATTCTCTATACGATGTCGGACCCCAACGCGACCAGCAATGGCCACGGCACTACCCAAGAAGCGTCCTTCTACCACAATTCTGTTGAGCTCGCTGATCTTGGTATCAAGCGCTTCGACCAAGACACCGCCGCAATTGGCGACCGCGACTTTGCCCTGCACGCCAACCAACCAGTCATCACCCGCGCAGGCCGTGCGCCCCGTGGTCTCGAAAGCCAAGTTCATGCTTGGAACACGTTTCAGTACACCACTGATGAGGTAGACAGCCGCGAGGAGCTCAAGGGTGATTTACACGGCGGACAGCTGCATCGCGAGAATAGAGCTGCGGCAAATCCGCAGGGTATGGCGCCGATGGATTTTAGTGGTGGTAGGGGTAGAGGTTTTGAGAGGGGAGGTCGAGCTGGTGCTAGAGGTGGACGAGCTGGAGGCGCCGGACGAGGTGGCGTCAGGGATGACGGGCAGATGGAGGGACTATGTGCGGGTAGGAAGTCAGATTTCGATGCGCCGCCAATGGCCAAGGGTATGGCGGAGGAGATGGACAAGAGTATGTTTTGGGATGAACCTATTGTTTGAGTGATGGCGGCAATGCGTCGTGTCAAGCTCACTGAAGGATATTAGCTACGTCCAGTAATCGTTCATGCTGTTTGTCGCTGGAAGCACACTTTTCAGGTCGATACTGGGGAGACAGGAAATGATTACAGGGAATGTAGGAGGCTCTCTGTAGTTTACTATAGTTGAACAGAAGCAGACGCACATTCTCAAACGTTCCCTTGACTCGAATCAAATCACTGAAAGTTAGGCTATGATCTCTTGTTTTGTTCTTAGTACTTTCTCATCATACTGTCCGTCTATCATACGCTCTTCCTTAATCAATCTCGCCCGATAAACTGCGAGAAACCACGTGCCTCATCTCTCTCCATCTCCATCTTTAAACTCATATACGTGATAACTTAGCTAATTCTTGAGACATTAACGAGCAAACATATAGATTTAGTAAGTCAACTTATGTCTAACTCTTCCCGATAATCGCTGGCAGCTTATCGACAAACACAAATTGATCCAGGCCGCAAGTTGGTAATAGAAGCAATGCAGCGGCCAGAGCAATTTGCTACACAATAGCTGGTGGCATGAACTGTGCCCCTGACCGAACCCCACCACCAGGTAGAGCAGTAGTAAGGGCAATGAGCAGGAGAAAAGGCACCAGGATAAGGGCCTGTGAATGCATCGTTGGTTGAGACGTATGTTCTGGTAAGCTATTGTTTGGCGAGACAGATAAAAGAGCAGAGAAGGACAGAACGAGATTGAGGATACAAATTCTACTACAATACAAGTGTATTCACATGTTGATCTGGGTAAGCAGCATATGAACTGTCGATTCCCACCAGTATCGTGCGATGGGAGACACATGCCATACTCAGACCACCCTATATTGCATTCCCAATCCAGAAACTTTCCATCCACACTCAACATCAACACGTTCTCCTCCACGTCCTTTATGACTCTTCTTCTGATTGACCTGCACAAATTTAATATGAGTGAGACTTTGCAACCTAAGGGACAATTGACTCACCGCTTATGCGCCTCCTCCTCCTTGCTGCCAGGGACAGTCGCACCACGCACGGCCACTTGTTTGCTTGCAGGTTCCAGGGCAGCCTTGTACGCAAGTGTTCCACGGGGCGACAGCACCGCATTCTACGACGACAGAAGGAGCGACAGTAGCGAATGCGGTCGTGATGAGGCTTAGGGTGGCGAGCATCATGGTTGCAAAACGGGCGTGCATGTTGGGATAGAGTGAGGTAAGACTGGATGGGGCTTGCAGATATGTAGGATACCTCGGAGGATAATGCAAGAAGATTTGGGACGAAAAGGTAGATACAGGGAAGGAAATTGGTTCTTTATGTTTGAAAAGTTGAGCAGTACGAAACAAGGAGTCCATCCCTTGCGACGGCAGAAACGGGCTGATATTGAGGCACAGTCACTTGGGCGGCGTAGTACGTCCATTGGAGATGAGATCTACCAAGGGCAGAACATTTACATACGTAACCTGAATGTTTTTGGATTGTTTGGATGTAACAGTGGCATGGAAGTCCTGACCTGGGTGGTTGGAATCACCAGCGCCAAGGATAAGCTGACACATGCTGATGTGACAATACCACAATTTTCGCATGTACCACTCAAACGGGAGATTTCCAAACTCGGTGGAAAAGATTCGCTCCCTTGTTGACCTTGGAGTGAAGTGTTGGGAGTGGGTATGTAAAACGTGATGGCAGACGCATGGCGCTACTGTATACCAGCAAGAAATTCAGGGAATACGGAGACGACATACCTGCCCCCTTGAGGCTAAATCAACATCTATGACGCTCAAGTTTTCTTGAAATGTCGGTGTATGAGCCCACACAAGCTCTCCCACAACACCTGATCCGTGCCTCTTAACCACTCCACGACTACCTCACGCGCCAAGTCCACGACTCGGATACGAAATGCCAGCTCAATCTTTCGATCTTGCTTCATGTCTACAAGACCTTCTCGTTGCTTACGCTCGTATGCGCGGCGATATGAGCGACTCCACACGTTCTGACTAGCTTCGCCGATGCCGGTCGAAGTAACAGCGTCCCACGTCCAGTTCAGATCGAGCGATGAGAGCTGGGCGTTGATGGCGTCTTTGGCTGTCTGCGGCTCGACTGAAGGTGGTAGTGCGATGGGATATGATGTCGGGAACGGTAGGAACTCATTAGCCATCTTTTCTATTCGTGCGTGGCTCTGAATACAGTCAGCATCTTCCACTGGTAGCTCAAACGTAGTAAATAACACCTACATTTCTTGGCCTGAGATCTCCAAAGCTCCACGCGACAATCCATCGCTTGGTGCCAGACCCAACATCGATATCACCAACCGCCCAATTTGTGATGCCGTGCTTCTTCAAGAGGTTTATAATGGCCTTTGCGCTTTCCATCTTGCCGAACATGCTAGTATACCACTGCACCTTTTCCCTGAGGACAAGACTCTCATTGACAATCTTCGTCACGAAGCCAAGATCCCCACCGAGACATACCATTTCGTTCTCTGAGCCTGTGCATACGGCGTTGGGCTTCCAGCTCTTTCCCTCACCCTTCAAGCTGGACTGCATATCGGACACATCGTTGAAGAAGGGTGGATTGCAGATGGTAAAGTCAAGACGATCAACCCCGAGGGCTGCGAGAGGGATAAGAGGGTTTAGCTCCGTGGTTTGGAGCAACTTGGTACGCGTCATGAGATTGTTGAGAGCAAGGTTGCGGGCTGCGGAGTCAAAGCTCTTCTTGTCTATGTCTGTAGCGCACATTGACCAGTTTGGACGTGATCTTAGGCACAGCAAGGTATAGATGGCGGATGCTCCAGTACCAATATCCAAGCCCTGAACCTGGCGATTTGGATCATATCTGCTGGAGTAGTCTGGCGATGTGGAGTCGATTAGACCTTGCAGCCAGGCTACATAGTTCCAGCGATTTGGGATTGGCGGACACAGGCGATCATCTGGCACGTCAAGTTCAAGACCGAAGTCTACTCTTAGAATCGCTTTGGAGAGGGCCTGGGTAGTACTGGGGTCTTGGAAATCTAGTTTACCCGACGTGCGCTGCCATAGTTGTTTGAAGTCTTTATCGCTCTTCGCGAGGGCCTTGAAGTCGACGGTGACGTATGGCGGGCGCTGTGCGAGGTTCATGCCGTCTTCTGACATGACTACTAAATTGACTGGGGTGTCATGAATTGTCGTGCCGTGTTCTGGTGATGGAAACAGTGGACCCGCAAATAAGTGCAAAGCTGACGCTCGGGCCAGTCCACCTAATTGGCCGACAGGGTTGAGATGAGATAGGAATAGGTAGGAGCGTAGGAAAGTGTACAATTGATATACAAAAAGTCGGAGATATAGCGTCGCCGCAGCTCCCGGTTACACCTACATTATGCTGTCTACCCAACGCCGAACCCATGCATGCGATCAGATTAAGAAAGGCCCATCGTACGCTCCATCCTCTTCCTGCAGTCGTACTTGTTCGAGCGACGGGACCGTGTTGGGCTTGTAGAAGCCCAGGAGCATCTCCATATCTTCTTCGGTCATGGCGCAAAGGTCGTCGAGCGAATATTGTTCGCAAACTTTTGACATCCTACAGATTCTGAGTCAGCTTGTGTCTTCAGGATGCGATGGAGATGACGCACCACTGCATCCGCTTCGGGCCCTCCTCGATGTTAGGAGCGACCTTTCGTAGCTTCCTTCGCAGCATGCCGACTCTTTGCACGGCGTTGCCGATGTTGTATGGGAGCCCGGCTGCTATCTGCCTCCTTACAATGTTGGCTAGCTTGGGACCGTTGCCGTTTGTGCTGACCATGATCTGCAATGGCCCGTCGCGGTGGACGCTGCCAAAGTAGAAGTCGCACTCGGGCGGCACGTCGGCAATATTGGCTGCTATCCGCCTCTCCTTGCACAGCTTGTATATCTGCGACGAGGCTTCCGGGTCGTCGACGGCCGTCAGGACCATGTCGACGCCATCGAGGTCCTGGGGCTCGAACTTGCGGTCCACATAGTCGACCTGGCCCTGTTCGATTCGGTAGGCGACTTCCTCGTTGAGGCCGTCGCGCGGAGAGACGACGGTGATTTTGGCGTCGGCATTGAGCACGTTGACGATGCGACCAGCGGCGACCTAGACTTTTGTCAACCGTCAATACTTTGTAGGGAGCCATGAGGCCTGTGACATACCTCGCCGCCGCCGACTACCAGGACGCGTTTATTACGGATCTGCCATGCCAGAATCAACGAGCCGCCGCCTTGAATCTCTGGGTAGGGTCCTTTCATGGTGCGGAGAGTGTTGCGGAGAAGGAGGAGGCAGGCCGGAGATAGCCATGTCGACTGTTCCGCGTCATTGCCAAGGCCGTGCAGAAGAGGACGCGCCGGGCTGGCCTGTATATAGAGTTTTTCTCATCGCATGTGATTACTCGTCAGAGTCAAATCACGCAATGCTTCCTACCCTGCCGGCCACTAGCAATGTCTCCATTGTGCGACTGCGACGACGGAACGGACATGCATCCTTAGCGTGCCCTGTAACGGCGCGCCCAAGACCCACGCCTCTAGCCTACCCATCCTGGCCCATGTACTTTCACGACTCCACAAGACACTCCCGAATATGACCTCCCGCAGGTCTCTGGGCGGCGGTCGCGTACTCGGGAGCGGGAGGAACCTGTCGCCCGCTGCGCCACCTCCGCAGCCAGCAGCAACTGCACCTGCCCATCGCCGCAATGCGAGCCTGCTATCGCCCTCGGAGAGCTCGGTGTCGCTGAGCTCGCAGACGTCCATCAGCCCAGCCAGCACCCATGAGACCCGGGAGGACATCAGCAGCAAGGTGCTGATTGGGCCGACTGAAAATGCGGCGGCGAGCGCGTCCAGTAGACTCGTGTGCCCGATATGTAATGAGGAAATGGTGGGTTCATGGCACCTGCCGAGTATGTACAGTGATTCTGACGTAGCAGGTAACATTACTCCAACTCAACCGGTACTACTCCCTCATACCAGCCCAACATGCTATTCCTGACTAGTGTTATTAGACATCTCGACGACAACCACCAGAACCTGGTAGTTGAGGAGCAGGATGAGGTCAAGAACTGGTTCGAGGCGCAGATGCACAAGGCGAAGAAGTTCCAGCCCCTCGCCGTCCTGAACCAGAAGCTCAAAGGACTCGACGTCTTCGAATCCAACGATGCCCCTACGCCCCCTCAAATCTCCCACTCCGCCAGCAGCTCGACCGCCCACGCTGCCTACGAACCCGCACCCGTGCGCCGAGACCCGGAGGAGGAAGTCACGCGAGCACATTGGCAGAGGCCGGGATACCGCGATGTGTGTTCAGATCCCGTCTGCGCAAGACCCATCACCGCATCACAAATGGCACTGGGTGGGAATCAGCCAGCAGTGAACTGCAGGCAGTGTGGAAGGCTGTTCTGCGAGGAACACACCATGTACCAGATGAAGCTGTCGCGGCAGGCTAAGCATGACCCCGTCAGAGGCATCTGGTGCCGAGTGTGTGAGACATGCTACAAGTCAAGAGACGGCTACAACGACCACCACGGTGTCGAGCGCGACGACTTCGACGACTTCGCCAAGATCAGACGGAAACGGGTGGACAGGGAGCGCATGGAGGTTAGCAGGCTTGAGAAGCGCCTTACAAAGTTGACGCAGCTCCTCGCAGACCCACCACCGATAGAGGAAACACCGACTACCGGGGGCTGGTTCTCTTCACTGGCGGGTGTCAAGAACCAACGGAAGGCTCTGGAGCAATCTATCATCACTTGGGAGGAAGACGCTAAAGTGTCCAACTGCCCCTTCTGTCAACAGGAGTTTTCGACATATACCTTCAGAAGATCCCATTGTCGCTTGTGTGGACGCGTAGTATGCAGCGATCCGAAGACTGGCTGTTCCTCGGAGGTAGGCCTTAATGTCGATGCCAGCGCGCAAAAGACCGAGAAGGATGCTGCTCAAATGAGTATCGACGTACGAATGTGCAAAGATTGCCAGCACACGTTGTTCGCTAGAGGCGACTTCGAACGCGAACTAGCCGACAAGCCCAAGGACCAGCGCGCATACGAGAACCTTGCTCAGTTCGAAAGAGGCATTCGACTACTTCTTCCACGCTTCCACAAGCTTTTGCAAGCGTTGCAGGATCCAGACAAGTCGCCTACACCGCAGCAGTTGACCGACGCAACCAAGGTACGGAAGCGTTTGATGGATGGCTTCGCACAATTCGATGTGGCTGCGAAACGAATACGAGACCTACCTACAGACTCACCGACACAACAGAAGCTACAGCGAGCAGTATACCAGCAAGCTTACAGCTTCCTAAGCTTACACATGTTGCCCTTACGGTCGTTACCGAAGATCCTAAAGCATGCTGCCCCGCAAGGCCGATCGAACGGAGGCAGTGCTCTCGCCTCTATCAAGTACAACGACCGCTCTGCCGGCAGTGTCGTGAGCAGTAGCGAGGTTTCCGCAATGGAATCGGAAGAGAAGGAGCTGAGAGAACGACTGATTGTGCTTGAGGAACAGAAGTTTATGGTGTCAGAGATGGTTGCCGACGCTACCAAACACCGAAGATTTGACGAAGTTTCCAGTCTGGCGCAGAACCTGGAAGACTTGAATAAAGAGATTGACCAGATCAATGGCCAACTTGGACAATTGGACTTTGCCAGTGCGTACAATGGAGGGATGGCTAGTCCACAGCCTGGGTGAAAAGCTCCAGGGATGTAGCCTTCCAGAACTTTGACTGGCCCTATTACAGGGCATGGTCACAATATCGATTTCTCATGGCGCCGCTACGGACCGATGAACTCCACAGGCGATAAACGCAGGAGCCACCTCACTGGGACAAGAGCCTGTCGTTGTGACCTACCATGGGTCACTATTCCAACGACCTGCATGCATACCTCAGATGTTGTGCACGCCCCAGGCGATGGCCTCCAGGCCGGTAACAGGGGTGACAGGTTCTCAAAGGAGAACGGCGTTGTAGGGATTCGGGCGGGACACGTCGGGCCTTTTGTGAGCACCACGTCTCACATTGTATCCATAATAGTATACGTAGCAGAAGAATGATAGGGCTACCACCTGTGCACTCACGATTCCTCGCAATAAGAGCTACACAATATTTCAATTTCCCATATTCTCGATGCTGTGATTTTTTCGATGATGCTCCAGCCCACCCAATCACAACACCATGCGTCGCCTCCGTCTGTCATCTAGCATCAACTAACCTCGACCACAACCACTTACTTTCGACGTCACATACCACCAACGTCACTACAATCACGAACCTCGTCGTCATCCCCGTCATTTCTATCCACATTCCCAATACAGTAACTCTCCAAACAAAGTGTTGAAAACGGTGCCAACTTTTGCTAGCCCGACTGTTGCAACTTGACTCGCCACTGCCAACTTTGCCAACCTACTTTCGGCACGTCATTGCTCAATTAGGATATGTACGGGCCGTGCTCGGGCCCGATTCGGGTTATCAGGCTCCACAGGGGAATGTATTGGGAAGGGATTGAATGGTACTAACAAGTTTTGGGATTTGTGGGCGCGATGGCCGGGAAGGGGTTGTTGTAGGGCTGGATTGTGGGGATCGGGGGAATGGTAGTGGGTGAAAGTCCGAAAATTGGCCGGCATCGCATCTCGCTGGCCTCGCAAGTGGTGACTGCCTTCTTGTTGCCTTTTGCAACTCGGACTTGCAAGTGGTTGTTTACATCCCAGCCGGAGACGCGCAAAGCGACCGAGGTATGAGTGAGCTAAGCAAAAAGCTTGTAGTCTACGCTAGCAACGCGCCTTGTTCGTGGCCGAAGACAACGCTCGCATTCTTCTCAGATGCATTGAAATTTGAAGACTAAGGAAGCAACGAATCGCAAGTGAACTTTTGGAAGATAATTTCGAGAAAATCCGGTTGATTGAGTCTGTCATTCAAGGCTTCTGGGATTACAGACGACCTCAGAAATGAGATTTCATGTTTTTATTTCAAGTCAGCATAGTGCTCTTGTCCACATTCGATGCGCATTCAATCTCCACCATCGGTTACGCTACTGTGCCCAGCTTCACCCATCTCAGCTCGGTCATCACTCGTCGTTCTCCGGCGAACACCCGTACTGACCGAGTGACCAGGCTTCGGATGCTCGTTGTGTTCGACCAACGGGAAATGCAGACCAGGCTTGGTCGCCAACGCGTCCCTAATCTCATCAACACTCTTCGCCGCCCATTCTGCACTACCCACGTTGCTCAACGGATAGAGAAGCTGATTGTCCGGGTGCATGACCACTTGCTCGATGCTTGGCGCTGCTTTACTCATGATGATATCCACATCTTTCCTGATCTGCAGGCAGAATGCGTCTAGCGGCAAGTCATTCACATCAGTACCGAAGGGATTTTCAATCTCACGACCGATGAGCGCGATGCCCAGGATGATGTAAGCTGCAAAGACGCTTGCGGGGATCGTGATGTATCCCAGGAGCTTGTATAGTTGGAAGGGCAGGAGAAGGATATACACCCAAGTCTAAAAGTAAGCGCATAAAGTTAGTATATGCCTCACATGCAGTTTGTACAGAGACACTTACGATTTGGCTGATGGCAATGCTATACGCCAAAGGGAGCGGAGTGGAAAGGATGCGCTCAGTCCCTGCAAGCACATCATTGAAGCTTGTGAGCGCGTTGAGAGATTGCGTTTGGTAGATGGAAACTTTGAAGGTGCCGTTTTCGTAGATTGACTTCATGTAGACACTCAGGTGGTTGAGAATCTCCAGAGGAAGGTTGCCGAGTGGCACACGCGAGCGCTTCAAGAATTTGCGTGGGTTTGATTCGGCCATGGGTAGCCCGAGGAACTGTCCTGCCGTCTTGAATATACCCGGTTTATTGCCTTCTGGTTGATCAGCATCGCGTGCAAAGGTGTCCAAGTGGCCGACCAGGTGCTTTAGGTCATCGTAATGGACGCCAGGCTCGAACCGGAGCTTGTGCTTGAGTGCGACTGCATACGCGGCGATCAAGTTGAGACAATTGATCTTGGCAAGAAGATCTTGTTTGCCGAGCTCAGCGTCTTTTTCATGCCGTTCATCGACGTGAATCCAGATAAGGCGAGCAAGGTTCTGGGACTGGAAAGCGAGTTGTGCCCAGTATTTACGGCCATCATTGTATCGCTCGTAGGCAGTGGAGCTTCTGAAGCTTAGTGCCAGACCGACGACAAAACCAAGAACGGTAAGCAGGAGCTGGTTTACGCTAACTGGAGGATATCAATACATGATACATGCTAGAAGAGTAGGTGTAAAGCATACGGTCGTGGACAAACTTTGATATAAGCGTAATCATGGTTGCCCAGCCAGCTACAAAGAGCAGAGGTAGCACCATTTCTGGTGTAACACTGCCGTGGACGCGGAGGAAGACAGGCCATTTCGAATGGTGATCGAGATCGCGCGGTCCAACCTGATTTCTGTTAGTGACTACACAAGTCGTTATCAACAAAGACATACAAAATAATCATCAAAGTCCTTGTCACTTTCTTGCTTTTTTAGTGGCGGCCTGGTCGATGCACCATTCGTGCCGTTCGACACGTTTGCCGTGCTTTGCATCTTCTCCGCCATCACGAGGTATCGTCGCCTGTGAAAAAGATAGAAATGAAGGTCGAGCTCAACGATTTTTCGCGTTCAAGATTGCGACACGCGAGCACTTCATATCGTGTCGCGTGCCCCTATCCCTGGCCGTTTCTCCTGCATTCCACCAACCTATCAAAGTCTGGAATCCAGGTCTGGCGTTTACAATCTCTGGGTGGCGCCGTGCGTCAGTTATGGCGATGCTGTAAATGGCAAGGCTAGAATACGTGACTCCAATCGAACGCGCTCACGTAGCGGGAATGGTGAAGCATAGCCTCTATTAAGATGCTTCCCGTCTTGGCAGGGTCTCTCTGCGGGCTTACTCTCTGTGCGATGCGGGATGGAGATGAGTAGCTGAGCCGTGATTGCTTTTGCCTCGGCGAGTTGTTGTTCTTGCCGTACGAACGAGACCTCCGTGCGACTTGGTACAGCAACTACCTAATTCCGTCAAAAGCGAGACCACGATGTATAAAAGCTGCCAAATTTGTCTGGATGCCTGTGCGTAGTTCACAAATGGTGGTTTTAGATAGGTGTCGGTGACCAGATAATCAGCGCATAGATTGGATCGTCGACTAAGACAAACCGTAATTCGCCTGCGACTCAAGCTTCAGATGTATGGATCAGGGACAAGGCCCAGAACAGGTCAAGCTTCAGCTGTGCGAAAAGGTCGAGATCTTGTTCTACGACTTGGCAACATTGGCACTGGCTCAGCTAGCAGACACCGCCACAATCACAACTCATTGGTTGTTGGTTCCAGCCACTGTGGCCGTGTGCTCAACGCGCTTGGCATGGAACGGACGCGGACGATCAGGGCTGAATGTGTGGGGTTGGGAGATGTGCTCATCTTGGGGTAAGGATCGGCGATGAACATCAATATCGGGTATTACGGCTAGCATTTTACATGCCAATACCGATCTTCTGATGTTTACCAAGGTAGTGTGATATGAAAGATCATTTGAGTCGGGTCTTCGACACTAAGGGTTGACGGTATGATAAAGGTTGTCAATAGGGAAGCCTCATTCATCATCCATATATAGCTTCACGCACGTTCGCAGATTTCAGCCAATTCTTGTCTCTCCTTGGCCTACCCTTGTATCAACTTTATTCATTTTGGTCACCTAACCGCTTATTTCCATCCTTCCTCTTCTCGCCTGATCTCCACTTACTCAACCCCCACTTGTCCTTCTTCGCCTCGGATTTATATTGACGTTCCTTGATCTCTGCTATTCGACTCGTTATTTCTCTGCCCTTCTCGCCTAGGCATTTCGCTCTGGCCAGAAAAGCCTCGCCTTTTGAAGGCACTGGTGCTGGCGTTGGGGTCGGAGCAGACACTGCAGGAAAGACGGTTGGAGCCGGCATTGTTTGTGGAGGCATATTCTCTTCTCCCCTTGGTTGTTCCGGTTGTGCCCACGGATTGAGAGCTGGGAAAGGCTCTAGTACCGCGTCTGCTTGTGGTTCCAGAAATCGGGGTGCGGGACTACTTTGAACACTCCATTGCCTGTCAGACGAGTCTGATTTCAAGCCAGGTTCTGACTTCTGACCGCTCTGAATATTGTCGACTTTGTTGATATGGGAGGCGGGTTCGACGGAGGCGTAAACGGCTCTTCCAATGGAAGCATGCTCGGAATCCGAGAGGGAAGAGAGACTGGTCGTGGTGGAGTGGGAAGATGGAGCTGGTGGTTCGACCCGAGGCGGCTTACGACCTTTGTTCTGGGTGTCATGGTTGGAGCGTGGGTAATGGACTGGTACCAGAAAAGCTGGTGTTGAGGCCGTGAGATGGTTGCTGAGGGAGATGGGGGATTGGCTATCGTCCTGATTGTGTGTTCGACTTTCTACATCGTAGCCGGTACTACCACGACGAGAGTGGTCATGTACTTGTTGGAGGATGATGGGATCTTGTAGGCTGACTTGCGCGTACTCGCGAAGTACGGAGTCTTGGTCTGATTGTAGCTCAATGAGCAAGTCGCGGCGCGAACGACGATCCTGAAACGAAGCTGCATTACCTCTTTCCTGATGGGACTTCAACATCGAATGAGAGGGCGATGGAGCGGCGGATCGACGTAGACTCCTTGTCTCTTCCTGCAGACACTGTTCATCGTCACGCTGAGCAAGTTCGTGACGTAGCGTTAGATCCTTTCCATTTTCGTGGCGTCTCCTATCAAGCGCATCCAGCTGTCTAGACCGTCCCTTTGGCGAAGCTGGCGGTGTCATGGGAGTTCCATTATGATGGGTTGTAAAGCCGCTTCGTTTCTCATTAGGTACCTCATTCTCGATAGTCAGTATGCTTTCTGATCGATTTGACTCTCCAGCCGATGATGCCGTCTCTGCATGCCATGTCTCTTCACCCTCCGTCTTCCTTCCATGCGCCATCAATATGGCATATTTCATGAGCGACGCTGCGCTATGTGGGTCTGCGTTTGTTACAGTAATTCGCACATTGCGTGTTTTGCAGCTTATTTTGGAACCTGCACTGACTTCCTTCCTGCGCTTGCTGATGTCTTTACAGGCCAGTGAGCCTATGGAGCTCTTCCGAGTCGGAATAGAAGGAGGGGCCTTGACGGAACAAGAGGACTGTGCCTTCTCGGCTATATGCTCAAGCCGTTTCTGGTTAAGTTGAAGGCTTTCGTTCTCAAAGCGAATGCGCTCGCAGCGTGCTTGTCTATCAGCCTCATACTTCCCTTCGTCATTTAATACCATTTGCAGAGGTTCTGAATTCGATGATGCGCTGTGTGCAATCACCCTACTTTGGGGGATGTAACCGCAAGCAAGCCATTCACCCTTCTCTCCCAGATTGACGTCCATTAAAAGCACTTTCTTCACCTCCTCGAGGCAAAACCACAACACCTCTGCGTGGTGACCTTCTTTCGGCTCCTGGATGTCTTCCTCAAACCAGACCGGGATGTGCACACCATTTCCCATGCTCATCCAGGCAGGTGCCATCCCGCTTGTATCTACGTCTACTACGATAGCTTCGTGCGAAGGGGTTTCTTCTCTGACTTTCACAACATGAGGGCGCTCTCTTGAGGCGGTTCTTTTGCTTTCGTATAAAGAGATAAAGCTGGATGCAACGTTTCGCTGGAAATGTGCTTCGATTGTCGACCTGTTGAGCGCGTCGTAGTTGAACTGGTGCGATGAAGATATGCCGTGCACGTTTGGTCGAGCGACGAAGATATGGAGGTGTTTGGGGATGGTGCAACGATTCTTAAGGAGAGCGGCTCTATCTGATCGCGGTTGTTGAATAGATCTGCGCATCATTAGTCACGATGTCAATATGTAAGACTATCTCTGTGTATCTTCCAAATTTCCCCTGTCAATTCGACGTATCCCAGAGGTTATTTCGGCGTTTCACATTTTCAACGCGAATTTAAAATGCGGTGAAATTCTTGCGAGTACGTTTGGTCAAGAAAGACTTGGGAAAATAAGGTGATGGTACAGTTAGATTTGACGACTTACAGAGACATGATGGACAATGATGAATAATGAATGCAAGGAGGCTGTAACGTCGACTTGAGATATGCAGGTGAGCTGGAAAGATGGAGATGTGATATAGCAGGTGTGGCCGTATCTACCATGGTTCTGTGCTCGGTTGCGAAGAGTGGCCACCTTGGACCCTATAGTATGAGATCAGGAGTCTGTAAACGAGTGGTAGAAAGTGGATCACCTCACAACCCCATACGCCGCGCAATACACGAACATCATGGCGTTTAGGAGAGAAGGAAACCCTTGTTAGTAAGAGTTGATAGGACGTAATAGGATAAATACATGCCGCTTTAAATGCGACGGTCAATAGTCCTGGATCGTATAGTCAGCTGCGAGAGCTGAGCACTAGAATTGCGATGTCAGTTCATGGTCTCCAGCCAGCCTGGATAATTCGACTTACATGCACTCTGCTTCTTCTGTAGAACCACCTTCCAGGTTCTCGTCCAAAGCTTTGGCATCAGCCAGCGCCAGCGCTCGCTGCCGCTCGTCCGGTCTGAGCTGCTGCTGCCTTATATCTTCCATCATGGGAGATTCGAGCTTAGTGTTTATCTCATGTAAAGCCCATTCCGCGTCGGTAACTTTCCCAGCGCTTGCTGTACTGTGCCCAGCGAGATATGCGTTGAAGCCGCCGCCATCCTTGACCCAGACTTGGAGTAGTCCAGATATGAAGATCTCCGCTATACTCGCTTGTTCTTGTCGGAAGATAAGGTAGATGATGAACTGGTGCATGGTAAACTGTTGTGCGAATGTCCCGATGTCGTAGAGGTATTTACAGATGTCCTCGACGAGATTCATGACATAATTGGATGATTGGCGTGCGCGGTGCTTTGCCAGACGCTTAGGTGAGTTGATCGAATACCCGCATTCACTAGGAGGGTACTTGAGGGGAGTGTCGCGTGATGATACTGGCGTCTCGTCACAACGCTTCCGAATGCCCTGGCAGAAGAGCTCTAGAGTTTTGACACGCTTCTCTGAGCGACTAGTTCTGTGAAGATACTTACGATAGCCCTTTGTAGACTGGTGCTGTGTCACTAACGGGCGAGAAATCTTATCTATGTGCCATGCATGCTCTGAAACTTTACCCTGAGATAAGTAGTCGATCACGATGTCGCAGATTGTGAGAAGTTGATTAGGCGTCGGCGCGTTACCGTCGCGGTCAGCTAACAGGTGTATGTATATGGATGGTCGCTTCCGCGCTCTTTCACAAATCGCAACATGTTCTTGTTGCAGACTAGAATCAATCTGCATCCTGGACACAAGGTCGCCTTTGACTGCCGACTCGAGGACCGAGGGTGCAGAAGCAAGGATATCGAGGCATACGCTTTCATGCATCGCCCGGTCTGTTGCGTTGATGACAATACTCTTCTCATATTTGGGCATTTCCGCATTGAGTACTTCGAAAATGAGGGATCTGTACTGCTTTTCGCTAAATAGACCCGCCCATCTTGTGCGTCGTCTGTCGAGCGACTCTGTCGTTGACTGCAGTCCGCTTTGTTGTTGAGTAGTTGAGTTAAAAGTGTAGCTTTGAGCCCTTGTAGTTACCATAGATGGAAAAACTGCGTTCGAAAAACGAGGGAAAGAATTGGGGCGAAGGATTGGGCGGCAAAAAGACGACAGTCTTTTGAACATAGGATACTGATAGGGGGCAAGGATGGGGTGCAAACCAGGAGTCGTACGTCGATCGGTGAGTTTTGGTAGCTTGCAAGCTTCACGAATCGACATTGAAGAGGTAGTCACACAAGCTGTGCCTTCCATCTTCTTCGTGAGTCTTGAACGAAGGCATGTTCGTGTGAAGCTGCGGTGGAAGTAGCGAATTTGCATACCGATGTCTAGGTCAGGTCTGAGATAATGTTAGGAAAGACAGACAGATGTACACGTAGCAGGCTCGAATTTGCTTTTCTATTGCGATTTTCTGCTCGCATGGTATTACAGAGCTCTTTGTTGAATGATCTGTGGTATTTACGCTATCGGAACGGTTTCGGAGCTCTGAAACCACTTTGTTGTGACTTGAGGCCTGGTCTCGCAGAGCTGTCGTACCTTGATCCAACGCTGGTTGTTCGCTGTCCGTTTGCCATGTGTTAAACATAATTGACCATTTGGGCTATAGGAAGTTCATGTCGTAGATTTATCACCGTGAAGGTACGATATCGCGTCACGGACGCGTTAATCGATACCAGGATGTCGTTGATAAGGGTGTGAAGCAAGTGACAGGGTGAGTTGCAGATGGTCATAGTTCAAGCAAGGCTCGAGGCAAGGAGTGTTGTGAAAGAGTTGCAGCTGGCCGGAAAGGGGAGGGGCCGGTGAGGTGTGGCGTTTGTGGCTGGTGCAGCGCGATTGACTCAATGCCCCTCCAAAGTTGTTGATGGAGCCCCTCCGACTGCACACGAGCTCCACAACCTCGACACTTTTCTAGTAAGTCACCAAACGACACGCGTCATTGCCTACACAACAGTACATACGTTGAACGCGAGGCACACAACCCACCCACAAACGTATTAACGCCGCGTAGAAATGGCTGAACCTACAGCACCTGCACCGCCCGCCGCTGAGGAGGAGAAGGGCCCTTCCAAGCGTGCGCTCGAGAAAGCCGCAAAGAAAGCCGCAGCAAAAGCCAAAAAGGCCGAGCATGCTCTCCGCCCCAAGGAGCAAGCGAAACCTACCACAAAGAGCGAACCGACGAGCATCTTCTCCGAGGGCTGGCTGAAGCGCATCTACGAAGAGAAGCCTGTCCAAGACGTCCAGACCCGATTCCCGCCCGAGCCCAATGGCTACCTCCATATCGGACACGCCAAGGCTATCGCCGTCGACTTCGGGTTTGCAAAGCATCACAAGGGCAAGTGCAACCTACGCTATGACGACACCAACCCGGAGAAGGAGGACGAGGTCTACTTCACTGCCATCCTGGATATTGTCAAATGGCTGGGCTTCGAGCCCTCCAAGATCACATACAGCAGCGACAACTTCGACAAACTATATGAGCTTGCAGAGCAACTCATCAACAAGGACTGTGCCTATGTGTGCCATTGCTCACGTAAGTCTACATTTGTTTAACTGCTCCTACAGGGTTAACAATCATATAGGCGAGGAGATCAACAACCAGCGTGGAGGACCCGACAATCGAGGCAAGCGCTATGGCTGCGCCCACCGCGACCGACCGATCGAAGAGTCTGTTACCGAGTTCCGGGCGATGCGCGATGGCAAATACCAGGCTGGGGAGGCTTTCTTGCGCATGAAGCAGAAGCTCACAGACCCCGACGAGGGCAACCCCCAGATGTGGGACCTGCCCGCGTACCGCGTTGTTAAAGAGAACCACCATCACCGAACTGGCGACAAATGGAGAATCTACCCTACCTACGACTTTACACACTGTATCTGCGATGCGCTGGAGGGTGTTACTCACTCGTTGTGTACGGTTGAGTTCCGTCAATCGCGTGTCTCTTACGACTGGCTGCTAGAGAAGTTGGACATGAAAGTGCCCAAGTCGGACGAGAAGGGTCCTATGCAAAGAGAGTACGTAACAACTCCTGTTTGAAAGTCATTTCCAACTAACGTGCGCAGGTTCGGACGTCTCAGTGTTGGCGGCACGATCCTCTCGAAGCGACGCATCCTCCAACTCGTCGAAGGCACAACTGTCGAAAAGAAGAACGCGGATGGCACAGTGGAGACACGCAAGATACCAGGGGTGGTACGGGGATGGGACGACCCCCGCTTGTTCACCATGGTCGCTTTACGCCGTCGCGGTATTCCAGCCAAGGCCATGCTCAGCTTCGTCGACGAGCTCGGCGTCACAGATGCACTCTCCGAGGTCGAACCTGCACGTTTCGAAGCCTCCATCCGAAAACACCTCGAGCGAACTGTGCCACGCCAGATGATGGTGCTAGACCCCATTAAAGTAGTCATCGAAGACTTTGCAACTGAAGATGAGCAAGAGATGACCGTGCCGTACGATCCTAAGGGTGCTATACCCGGTGAGCGAAAGGTCAAGATTGGTAGCGCGGTTTACATAGATCGCAGCGACTTCAGAGAGGAGGACAGCGCCGATTACTTCCGTCTGGCACCTAACAAGGCTGTTGGTCTATACAACGTTCCGTTCGCGATCCGTGCGACATCATTCTCCAAGGATGATAACGGTAACGTCACCGAGATCAAGGCTACCAAGGTGCCCGGCACTGAGAAGCCGAAAGCCTACATTCAGTGGGTCGATGCTGCGACAGCTGTTCCGGTCACAGCGCGTCTGTACAGCTCCCTCTTCAAGACAGAATCACCCAACACACTAGACTGGAAGACGGGTGGCTGGGCCGACGATCTGAACCCCAACTCTGAGATCATCCATGACAAGGCTGTCATCGAGCGGGGAATTAAGGACCTCATCAGCCAGACCTCCCTGGATCTGAGCGGTTCGTCAGATGCCCTTGTGCGCTTCCAGGCGCTGCGCACAGCTTACTTCTGTGTCGATATCGATTCCACAGAGGACAAAATTGTGCTGAACCAGATCGTCAGCCTGAGGGAAGACAAGGGAAAATAGATGCATAAAGGGCTTTGGGGTCGGCTTTGGCGTTGAAGGTGTGACGATAAGGTCGGGATTGTAGAGGCGTTGGTCCGCCAAGTGTTCAACGTACAGTAGAGATATCCCCGAAATCTAAAGTTGAATCGCACGAGTTCCTGATTTACATGACAGAGAGCCTGACATGACGTTCTTTGTATCCTTATGGGCCTGTAGGTATTCGAGCGCTGATATGCGTTTGGAGAGATCGTCTATGCTCAACATGCAACCACGAGTACGGATATGTTGTTGCCTTCGGGATCGCCGGAGCCTGAGGTCTGTAGAGCAACGGTCATAAGTTTTGTGCTTTGGCGTACCCACATGCAACCATGTCTAAATATTGGTATCATCTGTTTCGAATACTCAATGAAACAGCTGTCCAACGGGCCCTGCCCAGGCTATAGTGGCCTACTCAGCGTTGATACTCCTAAGCGGCTACACGTCAACCATGGAAACACAAGCGGGACTGAGATCGCGTGGCCCACGACCCTTTTCCCAGTGCCTCCCAACCTCTGCAACCATCAAAAAGGTCAACGACATATCATCAACATCACCTTCAAATCTCATGCCTGTCGGGATCTTTGCGTTCAATCTACGAGATTACCATATAAACCCGTCTAAGCCTTCTTGTACATCTTTCTCTTCCCGAGATGTCCGAACTCAGCAACGTCCTACCAGTCGCCGATCAAATTTCCCTGGTCCTGCACACAGCGGTCGACTTTTGTCGTAAAGCGGGCATTGGTATCGGTATCATTCAACATGCGGCGATAGGCGCAGCTCGGTCCGGCATTCTACCAGTCGAGGAGCAAAAACACGGCATCGAGCGAGGCCAGTACGGAGCCAATAATGTCAAGACGTGCGAAAGAGCTCATATGTACGCGCTCATACTTGCCATGGGACTAGCAAGCAGGACACTCAGACTACGATGTACAACCACACGCATCAAGATGCAGAGTGTCACGGTGTTCTGCGCTTTACCATCCGTGGTTGCACTGATCAAGTATCACCAAGCTCACGGACCCAAGAGTCTCGAATCTGTGGTGAGCCCGGAGGACTGCTCGATGATCAAAAGAGTCCTGGCGAGTGCAAAAAAACTGTCGCGATACGATGTCCAAGTCTCAGTCTTAGAAGACGGGGAAGAAAGTTTTACTTTATAGACAGCAAGAGTGAAGATGATGGCCTACCAGAGAAGGAAAAAGGCGTGCCGTCGCCGTCGTCACGAACGACGAATCATGTTCAAAAATTCCGGGGCGGCAAGCGATAACGAGGAAGGTGGAGGAAGCGACGAGGACAAGAACGGAGTGGGCCATGAGGAAAAAATGAGAAAGGATAGCTCGCATTCGAGACCTATGACAGGAAGAGGATCGTCAAGTACATTCAAGATGAATGAGACAGGTGAGCTTGAGTTGCACTGGACTTGAATACATACTCCCCCCTCAAGCGCCGCAGTTCTAGAGCACTCAACTGACACAAAACGAGCAGAATCAGGCAGCCCAATCTCCAAACCTCCAAACCTCCAACTCTTGCCATATATACTCGTGCATAGGACGCGATACCAGGCACATATAAAATGAATCTATATATACCAGAATGGCGCCTACTGTGCGCTCTGCTTCAGGAATATAGAAATCTTCTTTTCTTCCTCATTTCCGTTACTTAGTAACAACCTAGAATGAAACTCAAAAAATGATATAGAGAACTACCTATTCCAATCCTATTTACTTCTGAAGTTTTGGAAATGAAACTTTAAAGACGCATGTTACCATGGAAACTAGTATCATGGATGGGCATCGGTAGTGTGGATATGTGAAGTGGTGGTTGCGAAGTCTCCCCAGGTGTTGCTGGGTGCGCTGTTTTTAGAATACTAGCACTGGGGGCCGTCGTCATCATCACACGTTGGAAAACCACTTGCTCAGCTACCGAGAATCACAGTATCTTGACAATGACGGAGTCTGTAGATTTTCAGATCAAGATCGAAGCAGCAATAATTACATGCATCACAAATTTGGCAGGTGAAATTGCTGACACATCAGCGCTATCGGTCTTGACTCGTGGTAGGGCTGCATGAGCGCGCACCTTCTACCGAGCGGATTACCACATCACGATCTCCCGCATCCTGCAACCATGGGTATCGTTACCGAAACACGAGTCTCGGCCCCGGCTATCATGAATTTCAGCCGCATAGCGAAGCTTTATACGTCGGCACATGCCTGAGGCTAATCCCACACGAGGCGCAGGATGCATGTTGCCGCTGTCCAATGGCCTACTGCCTCGCAAATCAACCCCGCTGCTGTAATCGGCCCTGGCCTTATATAATCATCCATAGGAATGTCATGGACTGAAATACTCTCGGGCGAGACAGGTCCCGAACGTAGGCCGCCGCTTCGGCCGATGATGCGACGACTCACAGTTACGTAGGTCGACGTGTGGTAATCAGAGGTAAAAACATTGCATCGCTGATACACGGCAACAGTTATACGTATAGAGCCATAGTCTCTGCAACGAGATTCAAGAAATATTGCTATGCGCATCACCGGAAGTACTGAATTTTGATCATATACTCTGCTTCAGACCACGACTCCACCAAATAGTTGATTACTAAAGTCCAAGATGGCTACTTCTACGGAGCGCAAGTACGAGTTCTTCGTGACGACAGACGAGCCACATCAGCCAGCCGGTATGGAACGAAGCACGATCCGCCGGTTAGTGATGCGGAACTACTTCGATACCAAGATGGCTGGGCCACAGCGCAACGTGCCTGAACATAGTTCGACGAGCACAGTCGTGGCGGAGAAGCAGCTGAAGAGTCGTTTCCGGTTATCTGAACCGGGAAACGAGAAGAAGAAGACTCTGAGCAGGCAAAGGGAATACCTACACAATAACAATAAACGGGGAAAGAAAAGACCACAGGTTCTGAGAACAAGATCTGGTCCTACACCGCTGTCCTCAAAAATCGGTGCCGAAGACAGCGGGATAGGTAATTCCTATGAGACGAAACACAGCACCAGTAGAAGAAACACTAGTGAGCCAGCACTCGAAAGACCAGTGCTAAAGACCGACCCCAATATCTATCATATGGATCCCTTTGGCGCTCTGCCGATGCCAGACACGCCACAGCTAAATGCGCTCTTCAGATTATGTACGTACAAAGTCCATGACGGATACCTAGCCGACAAAGACAGAGCTTTCTGAGAAGGACACATAGGCTAACACTGACTCTAGACAAAGATTCACCCAAGAACAACTCGGTCGGCCCTGATGCTACGCACACATGGAAGTCCTTTATCTTGAATGACGCTGGCTTGCTACATGCTACTCTGGCAAGTTGGGCGCTATACGGCATGCTTGCGAATGAGTCTCATGATCTGCGGGTGTGCGAACTCGAACACAAAAACGAAGCAGTTCGAACCGTGACCTATAAACTTGCGATGTGTCGGGGGAGCGTATCTGACGATGTTGTTGGTACGGTCCTAACACTGGCGAATCTCGAGGTAAGCACCCAATCTGGTAGATGGATTGCATGGAAGGATAGATACTGAATATTTCAGAATCTGAATGGAGCTTACGATGTAGCTCAACTTCACCTCACTGCGTTGAGAGTTATGGTCGAAGAGCGAGGCGGGATACTTGCTTTTGGAAAGAATGATGGCTTGACGCGAGGTATATTATGGTGAGTTCAAACCACATCAAGTTTGACTACTTGCTAATACATGCGGTAGGGTAGATTTTCATGCGGCAGCAGCTTCTCGTACCACCCCGTTCTTTCCGCATGTGTGGCTGGGGCCAGATGCACCTCTTCCAGACAAGCTGCATGACGAGGCAACATACACATCACCAACCTCTCTGCTTCAATTATCTTGTGCTGCTATCGATTGCTTCGATATCTTCTATCGACTACACCGACTCGCGCTTGCAACATCGTCGCACTGGACAGGCCGTGTTGCACGCGTGGCTCTAAGCAATCTTCTCTACACTACTCAGTTCATTCTCCTTTCAGTACCCGATCGCTCGCAGGACTTTCTCAAATTCGACCAGAGCATCCGGGACAACAACAGTGAATGTAACGAGTCCCAGAAACATAGAGCAGATGCAGCGAGTGTAGTTGAAGCCCTACTCGCAGCAGCTCTCATCTTCATTTATGCGGTGCTGCGAGCGCTACCACCGAACACTAAGATATTCGCTATCCTTCTGCGGCGACTGCGCACCGCTATAGATCGACCAAATACATCAGTGCTAGAAACATGGAAACGCGAGAAGAACCTCAACATGTTGCTTTGGGCTCTGGTCGTGGCATGTTCTATTGCAACAGATGCAGAGCGAACGTGGTGGACCACACAACTCTCGGGGGTGTGCAAGGAAATGAACATCGGCAGCAGAGAGCACCTCGAGCACGAAATGCGGCGCGTGGCATGGACGGACTCATTTTTCGATGATAGGATTGATTGCATTTGGGCAGAGGTGACTGGAAGTAGGTAGAGAATACGGACCAATGACGGGCGACGCTAGTCCGCATGCAACCCATGTTCGTGAATGTTCCACCACACGTGCATCGGGCGCACTAGCGCCGACGACGGCGGCGGGCGCGATGGCAAAGGGACTCTGATAATCTTCGAGGACTGACGTTCGTCTGGACACGACAACCACAACCATGGCCCCGCTTGTCGACAACCCCCAGATCAAGCAGGCCAGCCTGCACAACCCGCTGCCGTTGCAGCTGCACACATACATCTGGCCATTTTTAATAATATGGCCGGCCTTCTCCGCCATATACTTTTCGCCGCAGCGCTACGAGCAGTACATTCAGTCGTCGGAATGGACTTTTGTATGGATTGCCAGCATCACCACCTTCCAGTCGCTGTTCTGGCTCATGACGCACTGGAACGTTAACCTCAAGAGCGCATTCACCACCACCTCGGCCGGCGACGTGCGTTCTGCATCGCTTATCAAAGTCCAGCCGATCAAGAATGCCGGCGCCGCTGAGATTGTGCCATTGGTGCGCGACAACGTTGGTGGAAAGCCGAACCTTTCGTTCCTCTTCCAGAAGCGACGTTTCCTCTACGATGCCGACAAGGGTTCCTTCGCCCCGCTCTCCTACCCCCTCGATGTCGAACCCAAGCCCCAGCTCAAGACATTCCAGCAGACCCAAGGCCTCACCTCGCCCGCTGAGATTGAGCGCATCGCACAACATTATGGCACAAACGAATTCGATATCCCCGTCCCGACCTTCACCGAGCTGTTCAAGGAACACGCCGTTGCGCCCTTCTTCGTCTTCCAGATCTTCTGCGTTGGACTGTGGATGTTGGATGAATACTGGTACTACTCGCTGTTCACCCTGTTCATGCTGGTCGCTTTCGAGAGCACCGTTGTGTGGCAGAGACAAAGGACCCTGACCGAGTTCCGCGGCATGAGCATCAAGCCATACGAGATCTATGTATACAGGCAAAAGAAGTGGCAGGAGGTCATGAGCGACAAGCTGCTACCCGGCGATGTCGTCAGCGCAGGCAGGACCAAGGAAGACTCGGGTGTAGCATGCGACATGCTCCTACTCGAGGGGTCCGCCATCGTCAACGAGGCTATGCTTTCGGGAGAGAGCACACCGGTGCTCAAGGAATCCGTACAATTGCGACCTGGCGATGCGCGCATCGAGCCTGAGGGTCTGGACAAGAACTCGTTCCTCTGGGGTGGCACCAAGGTCCTCCAGGTTTCGCACGGCAACGATGCTGAGGAAGATGGCAGCGGCGTTAACAGACTTTCGTCTGGAGTCCCACCGCCACCGGACAAGGGTGCTGTTGCTGTTGTCATCAAGACTGGTTTCGAGACCAACCAGGGCAGCCTCGTCAGAACCATGATCTTCGCTACCGAGCGCGTCTCCGCAAACAACGTAGAAGCTCTCTTCTTCATCCTCTTCCTTACCGTCTTTGCCGTCGCCGCCTCGTGGTACGTCTGGAAGGAGGGTGTCAAGCTCGACCGCCAGCGTAACAAGCTGCTTCTCGACTGCGTCCTCATCGTCACCAGCGTCGTCCCTCCCGAGCTCCCCATGGAGCTTAGCTTGGCTGTCAACACCTCCCTTGCCGCGCTTAGCAAATATGCCATCTTCTGTACTGAGCCGTTCCGAATCCCTTTCGCTGGACAGGTCGACGTCGCCTGCTTTGATAAGACTGGTACATTGACTGGTGAAGACTTGGTCGTGGACGGTATTGCTGGACTATCACTGGGTCAAGACAATGCTACGGTTGCTGCAGACGGTGCGCATACTGATCTCACAAAGGTCACGGACGTTGGAACTGAGACAACACTGGTGCTTGCCGCCGCTCACTCTCTGGTCAAACTAGACGATGGCGAGACTGTTGGAGAGCCTATGGAGAAGGCCACTCTACAGTCCCTCGGCTGGAAACTCGGAGCCAAAGACACGATCCAAGCTACTATGACCACTGCCAATTCTCAGGCCGAACTCGTACACATCCGTCGCCGCTTCCAATTCTCGTCTGCTCTTAAACGCCAGAGCTCTGTCGCAACTGTCCTGGTCAATAACAACAAGACCGGTCGCAAGGTCAGGAGCACAATCGCTGCGGTCAAGGGTGCGCCCGAGACTATTCGCAAGATGTTGGTCAACACCCCACCGAACTACGAGGAGACATTCAAACACTTTACCCGTAATGGTGGCCGTGTCCTCGCTCTCGCATACAAGTTTCTATCTGAAGAAGGAGAGTGGGGCCAGAACCGCATCAACGACCTCAAGCGTGAGCAAGTTGAGTCTGACTTGCACTTTGCCGGTTTCCTCGTCCTCCAGTGCCCCTTGAAGCCTGACGCTGTCGAGGCTGTACGCTCCCTCAACGAGTCTAGTCATCGTGTTGTCATGATCACTGGTGACAACCCACTGACTGCTGTCCATGTCGCTAAGCAAGTTGAGATCGTTGACCGCGATTGTTATATTCTTGACGCGCCTGAGAACGACGAAACTGGCGAGAAGCTCGTTTGGCGCAGCGTTGACGACAAGATTAGCATTCCTGTCGACCCCTCCCAGCCTCTGGACGCCGAGATCTTGAAGACCAAGGATATCTGTCTTACTGGGTACGCACTTTCGAAGTTCTCTGGTCAACCTGGATGGAAGCAGATTCTGCGATACACTTGGGTCTACGCTCGTGTCTCACCGAAGCAGAAGGAGGAAATTCTTCTTGGCCTTAAGGATTGCGGTTACACTACACTCATGGCTGGTGATGGTACCAACGATGTTGGTGCGTTGAAGCAAGCTCATATCGGTGTCGCCCTGCTCAACGGTACCCGTGAGGACCTCGACAAGATTGGCGAGCACTTCCGCAACACTCAGATGAAGAATGTCTACGAGAAGCAGTGTAACTTGATGCAACGGTTCAATCAGCCCCAGCCACCTGTTCCGATCATGATCGCGCATCTATACCCCCCTGGCCCAACCAACCCTCACTACGAAAAGGCAATGGAGAATCAGGCAAAGAAGAAGGGTCTTCTCCCAGGTGCCAATGGTGTCGCTAACGGATCAGCATCTACTGGTACCCTTGTTCAACAACAGCCCGGTCAAGTCCAGCCGCCTCAGGCCGTCGGCAACCTTGCTCAGCAGATGCAGGAGAAGATGATGATGCAAGAGATGGAAGAGATGGCTGGTGAACCACCGACGATCAAACTCGGTGATGCTTCCGTCGCTGCGCCCTTCACCTCTAAGCTTGCGAACGTCGTTGCGATTCCTAACATCATCCGTCAAGGTCGCTGCACACTCGTCGCTACAATCCAGATGTACAAGATTCTCGCTCTGAACTGCTTAATCTCTGCTTACAGTTTGTCTGTTCTCTACCTGGATGGTATCAAGTTTGGCGATGGTCAAGTCACCATTTCCGGTATGATGATGAGCGTATGCTTCCTTTCCATTTCGCGCGCAAAGACCGTTGAGACTCTGTCAAAAGAACGTCCTCAGTCCAACATTTTCAACACGTACATCATCGGTTCCGTACTTGGACAGTTTGCTATCCATATCATCACCCTCATCTATGTCAGCCAATACGTCCAGCGTGTTGAGCCCAAGGACCCCAACCCGGATCTCGAGAAGGACTTCGAGCCATCCCTGCTCAACTCTGCAATCTACCTACTACAACTCATTCAACAAATCTCAACCTTTGCCATCAACTACCAAGGCCGACCCTTCCGTGAGTCCATCCGCGAGAACAAGGGCATGTACTGGGGACTCGTTTCCGTCTCCGGTGTTGCCTTCTCCTGCGCCACCGAATTCATTCCCGAACTCAACGAGAAGCTCAAGCTTGTCCCCTTCACCACCGAATTCAAGGTCATGATTACCAGCATCATGGCTTTCGATTTTGTCGCTTGTTACATCATCGAGAAGGGGCTGAAGTTCTTCTTCTCGGACAACAAGCCAAAGGATATTGCAGTCAGGAGACCGGATCAGCTGCAGCAAGAGGAGAAGAGGAAGGCAAGGGCGGAGATTGAGGCGCAGAGGAAGAAGAACGAGGAGGCGGAGATGAAGGCTGCTGCTGCTGGATTGGTTAAGCGGTAGATAATGTTGTGATTATGTTTCTGGGGATAGATGATGTGCATATAGCATTTCTGGTGGTAGAGTAATTTGGACGACGAATTGATGGTTTCTCTGCTCACTTGCCATTGTGGTTGATCGCGCTGTGATTTCTGTCTGCGAATGTCAGGATTAGACATGCGGTCAACTTTGAAGCAATCTCATCGTGCAGTTGGTGCGCCTATTGAATTGGGTCTCGCACGAGCTCACGTGCCCACGGTCCTCGGATGTGTATATAAGCCCGTCACTTGGCTACCTTCTCTTCTTATACTCATCATTCATTGATGATCTTCCAAAAACGCCCACGAAAAAAGGTTATAGCTGCCGGTTCCATGTCCTTCGTTGGTTTTCAAAAACGAATATGTTCGTGCTTTTGCACCTTCACTCGATATCAGCTTCTGAAAGAAAGCAGAGCGAATCAGGTCATGAGAGTTTCGTTCCTAAGACTTCACCCAACCTAAAAGCCAAGTGACAACCCCAAATGACTGTTACCTTTGGAGGAGATACTAGGGGACCGAAACAACAATCACCTATGGCATGTTCGCCGTTTGGAAGACATTGCACAGAACAGAAACGATTCGACTGGATCCGATGTCTGCGTTTCCTGGAACTGTGTTGACTTGACAAGGAAGAGAAATACGGCAAGATGTTTCTGGTTTCCAAGATTCATTGTTTGCATTGAAACCTCAAGCATACTCCGGCATGTGAACTCTCATCTGTTCTGGTTTCTCCAAAATTACGGAAGCAAGCAGGATGCTGCTGCTTCTCGGCTGGGATCCTCCTCTCTCATGCAAAGTCCGAAAGATCTGTCGCGTCACTTCTGCTCTTTATTCCTCTTCGCACATTAGAAACTAAAAGACAATATCTCACAGATTAACGGCCGCGGTGAGATGATCGCCTTCTTCAAGACGAGAAATCTGCCATCAGTATGGTCGACTGCTCAGCCTTTCCCCACTTCCAACGTCAATTCAAAAGCGAGGGCTCACGGTTCGTGCCCAAGAGGATTGGTAGCTGCTGCTTGTGCCTAAAACTACGCCCATGTAACTGGACATGGTTGTGCCGCCGAGTCTCCAGCTTCGCCTATAAAGTTCTGCGCATCAATGCGCGATAATCTATTCTCCGTTTCACACCCATTCCTTTTCTAAAAGAGACCTTTCTCAAAAGTACTTGTTGAAGATTTATGTCTGTGTTTGTAAAAACCTTACGGAGATTGGCATGTCTGCGTCCACTCTTGCCCGTCGGCGGCCATCGAAAGAATCAACAGTCAAAGTCATGTGTGCTTAGCCTTATCTCTCGAGATCATCATACCACAAATTCAGAAAATGCAAGACTCGAATGCTGGATGTTCTTCTTACTCTCTCAAAGAGGTCGGCGAAAGACCTTAATGGTAGTGGTCGAGCGAGACGTGCGAGAATGTGGCAAAGACAAGCGTTGTGTGTACGGGGTTCGGTGGTAGATACCAAAAACGCAACAATTGTAACATCATGTGCATGTGAAGAACATGTGCACTATAGCGCAATCTAAAATCGCGGTGGCAGTCGTCATGAGAAAATTGTGACAAGAGGGAGTGTGTGGCCGCTGTGACCAGCCGATGTCACTGCCTTGACAGACGATCATACATGACTTGGTGTGACGAACATGCCGTCACTGGAAATGCTACAATAGAAGTATCATTTCTTGGTCTGCTGCGCTCAAAAGTATCGTTGTTCTTGTGACTTTAGTGTGTGCGTAACGGTGTCTATGCGTTCGCGTCGGAGATGGTGAAAGGGTATAAATTCCCCTGTCTCTCGTGCTTCCGTGCCTCTATCACACCAAAAGCTTTATTCGACCTTTCAAAAAGAAGAGTTTGCTCAATTATGTCGGGAGCTGGAGCGCGGTCCCTTCATTAGAGATTGGCTAGCCTTCTCTCAATGTTTGGTTGGTGAACTATCCAATGCTATGGCCAACAATCAATCTTGCACAATGTGTTCTAGCAATGTGAATGGCATGGCTCTATTGAATCATCACCTTTGGAGTCAATGATTCAAGGCAATTCCTTGTATACAAGACCCGCCACCTTACTACTTCATGTTCCAAAGCCAAAGTACACAGCTCGCAAGACAACTACAAGCCTCGGCCACGCCAACTACAAGAAAAACGTCGCAATTCCCCAAAGTACTACCCAAACTTTCCAGGTCAAACACAAGGATGGCCACCAACCGCTGCCAGCAGATATTGATGGCCGCCGATAACGACATCACTGTGGCCGTATACAATATCTTCTGCGAATGCCAGACCAACGAAGACATCAAATCCCAGGACTGGGATGACCTAATGACTGGCTTGAGCGAAAAAGACAAGAAGAGTTTGGACGGCATAGTCGGAAACTTGACACCGGCGTGGATGAACAGTGCACCTTGTGCAAATCTGGTGGAGTTGGTGAGGTGGCGCAAGGATGCGAGGGGTTTGCTTGGGAAATCTTAAAGCGAGGGAAAGAGTCATGGCGGTGACGGAGTTAAGGAGAGAGAAGAGCAAATGTATTCTTCTCAATGTAAGACCTTTTTCCATCAACATGCTTTGCCGTTATGCTTGACCAAAACCCGTGGTCAACGTTCAAATGTACCTCCTCCTCCTTTCTTTCTTGGTTACATCCAAAATATCAGCTAAACTTTAGATGTCGAGCGTGGCGGGACTTGATGACCGGTATATCGAGTCCCTCTATTCATGGCCTACCTGAATATTGGTGGCACTAGCGCAAACGCTTATTTCGTCGGTTCGCAAACGACAAGGAAAGGATGTACCGCAGCTGTCAAACGTTAACACATCGTTCTCAAAACTCTCCAAAACCATGGTCGTCGACCTACCACTAATGAATAATCGACCAGTCTTGACATCATGTCTGACCGTCGTACTACCACTCAAAACCTTACTATCCCTATCCTCAAGAACTTTTTCGACTCTGTAATCTACACTTCTTACTCCGGACTTTCCCACATCAACCGTCTTTCTGATGCGCCAAATGGTCACTGGTGAGGACTGGTTGTAAGGATCATCGAAGCCTTTACCGGATTGGATAAGATTGGGGAAACCGGCGGCGTAAATGTCGCCGTTGGCGTCGGGTGAGATGTTATCAAGCGGCATGCCGACATGAATCGTGTCGACGAGGCGAAGGGTCTTGTCGGGTTGCAACGCCAGGACGCGAATTTGGCCGTCTATGGCGCTAGGAACGTAGAAGAAACCGTCTCGTCCGCGGGCAAGTCCATTGGGGAACTTAAGCTTCGACTTCGGAAGGTATCCGAGCGCTTTCTTGAGATAGACTTTGTACATTGGCTCATCGCTTGAGGTTGAAGGAACAGTATCGTCATCCTCGCTGCCGTCGTAGGCTGCGTGGCAGTTACCAGCTCCGTCGCAATAGGCGACGTTACCGCCACCGATAACATAGTCGAGCTTTCTTCGCTATCTGACATTAGATGGGATATATTACAGTAACATTGAGAGTCACATACCAAACCAACCTTGACAGAATGATCATTTGTCACAAGAAACCCACCAGAGCCATCTGCAAGCGCCGAAACACGGTTTGGCGTCCAAATCTCATTCGAGAAGATGGTACGAACATGCCGCATCTGCTCCTGACCTGTTCTCATCTCAAAGATCTCAATCGTCGAATTTGCGCCGCTCTTTGAAGCATCGATGATGTTGTTGAACGCTCCGACTGGTGGACGTTGGTTGACCATATAGAATCGAATCGTGTTGTCATCCAAGACATGAGCGTCGAAGCCTAGAAGATCAAGATCGGAGTTTCCAGTCGCTCCTCTATAGTGTCCTATGGGTTTGATGCCACGAAGATTGTAGAACCCGTCAACACCAGGCTCGTCAATGTCCAATGCGATGAGTTCTGATCCACCAGGTCGTCGTCCAGTGACGTTGACATCCTTCATGCTGAGCTCAGTCAGTATTCGTCGCTTTCCAATCATAGCAACATGATTTGAAAATAGCTTACGCTTGATTCCAAGCCAACCTATCTGCCGTGCCCGCGCAAGCCGCATACAATGTCCTCTCGTGGTCATCCAGCCAGATATCCTCACACGCTTCTAGCCTTGGATGCACAAGACGGCTACAACTGAATTCTGGAAATTCATCGATACTCTGTATCACGCGACCAACACCAAAAGTAATCGCAAAAAGATCTTTGAGGTAGAGTTGGTAAAGCGACGCGCCCCACGCTACTACGAACGCATACCATATGGTCGTCGCTATGCTAGGCATGATGCGTATTATAACAAAGAAAAAAGATGGGAAAGTCGCAAGAGAACGACGGAAGGCTGAGCTTATATCCCATGTTGATACCTGGCAGTACGGCTGAGCAGGGCTTAACGGGGCTGTAAGCGGCATGGCGCAATCCGTCCAGCCCCAGTGAGATCATGCTGTGATTGGCTCGCGCGACGCACGTGGGATGTTAGAGGACCTCTCAGGCATGCTTGACTGCCAAGACCAAATATTTCTGCCTCGTCGATAACAGAGTTGATAGCCAGCGATGGAGATCGTAGTGTTGGAGATGGACGTTCGGATGGAACCCCGCGAAGGGTGACGGGAAGGCTGACGTCACAGGGTCTTCAGTCTATCTAGGTACCTAGCTTCTCCACCCACAGCTTACTGTGGAACATACAGCTCAGCTCTGCAGCAACGACTCAGCCTCAATCCTCCTAAACGAATCTCCAAAAAGCCAATATGACAAAATCCGCCTCTTTCGATGTGATAGGAACATGTTTCGCCTTCGATGTCCCTATATCCACCATCCATTCCCGTCTCGGCCCTAAACTTGTAACCGCAGACGTGGACCCCAAAACGCTCTTCTTCTCCTGGTTCTATGCTGCTCAGCGTGACTTCACCTACGTCTCCATGACCGGTGCCTACGTTCCCATCGCCCAAGTTCTCAAGTCTACGTTCCGACGCGCATGCGCCGTTGTCGACCTACCCGTCGACGCCGTCACCGACGAAGACTT